ATGAACTTGTCGGTGAATTAATTGTCGGTGAACTAAGCTGTCGGTGAAGTGATTGTCGGTGAAATGAGCACCACCCGTTAGATCATATCAGGTTACATAAGTATACAAGCCACACTAGCCACAATATTCTTATCTTATTGTTACACAAGGTTACACAAGGTTATACTGACCAGTTACACTAGCCGCAATTTAATTTAACTCCTGTTTTTAATTTAACCCCTATAAATTTAACAAAAATAAGTTTTTTTTTAGTAAAAACTTAAAATTTTTTTTTTAACAAAATGCCTACTTTAACTAGCTAGGAACCAGATAACTATGACCTGGACTATTTTCACAACAAATATAGTGACCAATATGGCATAATGATTCGTAAGATTCAACCTAGCTCATTGAAAGCAATGCTCTTCATATTTAATCCAAGTGAATGTAGTACTCTAAAAACTCTTCATTTTTTTCGTACACCTGAAGAACCAGCTATCATCCGCTGTTTTTGTCAAAAATATCATACTTTCTTTACTTCAGCTACTTGAATATTCTATCCAGACAAGCTACTCCTCCTCCTTTTTAACAATTCAAAGCTATGTCTATGGATTTAACTTCTAAACAAATTAAAAATTTAAAAAATAATATTCCACAATCTCCTATTACCAAATCTACTTCAATCCCTTCTCTTCTATTTCCTCTTAACTATTCGATTACTTCAACATCTAGTAGTTCATTCCAAACACCTCAAATACAAGCACACTCCCATCATGCCCATACATGTGTCACCTGCAAACTCAGAGATATTCTCTGCGTATTTCTACCAGACAACAACCATACACTTTTTAGTAAAGCTACTCTGGTTCTTAGAGGCTATCCAGCACATGCAGCATGCATTTACAAACTTAAACTTCAACTAATCACCCAAACTCATCCACTTATACCTGAAGCACATTATGCTTTTCATGCAATTAAATTCGCATTAATGGGAAAGACAGAAAAACATCAAGTTTTTAGAAACTTCTTGCAGCTAATTAAGGAAAAACAAAATATTAAATATACTAAACGAGAAACATCAAATGATTTTGACTGGTTTAAAACCTACCCTATTACCTCTACAGTGAAACCCTTCTCTAAATTGATATATCACTTGCCCAGCAAATCTTTAATTTTGTTAAACCTTTTCTTGTTGACTTTGCCTCTGGACAAATTAACAAAAAAATCAACAGACCAGATATCAAATATAGCTTCAACTATCTTATAAAACAAATGGCAGGACAGCATTCTAAGTTTTTAACTGATCTAATTTATCAACAACATCCAACAATTAACAAAGAGATTATTATCTTCTTTGAGATAGTACATACCTTACTTAAAAATATTTTATCTAAATTTACTCACATTCTTTTTACTAAACTTAATTATGCAAAAATATTTGCTCTATATAATTCAATCCCTCCTTATTCTACTGCTAATCGCTATAATGTAGCAATTAATTTTGCCTAATTTTACTTATTCTTAAATGATAAATACCAAACCATCAATAGAGCAAAATTTATCCAAGATTTAAATATTCATCCTATTCACCTCAATCTTTACTACTTCACTTCAATAGATATAAAAATCTAGCCTCTTTTTAGAATCCAAAATGATAATAAGTTTAACATTAATATCTCCTTTAATATACCAAAAATACAATTCTTAAATGATTTTTGCATTCCATCTCTCAAACCCTATAAAACCAACTTTGATACTTGGTTTGAATCTTTCTTTAAAACTTATTAACAACAATTTGTCAAAATTGATGAAAAGAAAACCTATAACTTCCTTAAACACCAAATTCTATTAAATTCGCAGATATCTGTAAAAGTTTTCTTCCCAAAACCTTTACTGTTACCTCTATTTCTTCACACAAAGAACGTACTACTCTTTGCACAAAAGCTGCACTCTATCATATACACACCTGTACTCATAATGAGAACAATCTATGCAAAACTTTACCAGACAATATGGAACATAATTTCAAAAATCTTGCAACCTTTTTCCTTACCAAATCCTTTGACAAATTCGCGTCTACATCTCCCAATAACACTCCTTACAAACCAAAACTAAAATACCCTACCTTAGATTTCACTATATTTAATGCAGATAACAAACATTCTGCTACCTTTCAAAAACCAACACCTACCAATATCCTACAAAAACTAGCCACAGATATTGAAGAACAGATTATGAAAGATAATGATGTAGAAACTAATGATCGTAGAAAAGAATTCTATTTTTACAGCTACTATAGGGCTTACCTTCGAGTAGCTGCAAAAAATGATGATAAATGGATATAATTATTTGAATACGTATCTGTCGAATTATCCAGATGATCAGTTTATCCAATATGGATTTATCCGGATAATTCAGATACAGATAAATGGATGACGGATTTTATCTGGATTGACGATAATTAAGTTTCAGAATTTTGATCTAGACCCAAGAATTCGATGATGATTATGCTTCTACATAATATTTAATATATTCAATTTTTAAGATTATTTATTATTCTGAAGATTAGTTTCGGTACTCTAAAATCTCATCACATTTTAAATATTTAATTTTCGACATTCAGATATTTTAGACATCCAAAAATATTTAAATATTTTAGGCATCCTAAAATATTTTAGACATCCTAAAATATATGAGAAGCCTAAAATAATTTTTACAGCCTAAATTATTTACAATTTAGACTGTCTAAAATAATTTAGTCATTTAAATTTACGACAAGAGTAAAATAATCTAGACACCCATATATAGCGATAGTATACTTTGTCGATCATTACGACATTTGATAGAATTAACTCATACTTTGCGTCTTGAAGAATAGTCCATTTGAGTCTAATTCTAATATATATAGAGAGTTTTTGGAAGATTTTGAGATTCTTAGTTAGATTTTGGTATAGTACTCTGGGTAGTACTTCTTGGGTTTGGAAGAAATAGTTAGTCAGTTGAAGGTTTTGGTTATTTTTAGTGTCTTGCATATACTTAAGGCCATGCAAAGTTAAGTTTTCGTTTTGCATTAAATGGATTTCAAAATTCCCATTCGGTCTGTCGGATTTTTTTTTTTTTTTAATCTACAGTGAATCAATGGGCTGATGTTCACATCTAAAGTCATAAAAGGTTATTTTTCGCTTTTTATAACATGGAATCAGAAAATTGGGTTGGCAGTCGAATTTTTTTCTGTCAGTTCTATCGGATACTTTCAGGAAATAAGGTCACTGTCGGGTAATACCGGATGAATTTTTTGAAAAAATTGCAAAAATAGAATAATTAGCACAATTGGGTTTAAAAAAAAAATCGAAAATTTGAAAAAAAAATGGGTCGGCGGGTAATGCAAAACGAAAAATCAACTTTGCGTGGCCTAATAAATACTTGGTTTATCTCTTAATGCTTACGACCCTAAGCTAAATTTGCTCATTGGAAATAAAGTCTCTCCCCTGCAGGGATGGTAAATGACCTGAAATGACCCAAATGATCCAAATGACAAATGACTAGTCATTTGTCATTTCAAGGCGCAAATGAGCTTAGAAGGTCATTTAACATATCTTAATTAATATTCTAACATATTTTAACCAATCAGAATTGGCCGCCAAGCAAAATTAATTTTTATAAAAATATAATCAATATCGTAGCTATATATCAAAATCAAAATATTACTAAAGCAATTAATATTTATGCCTTAAATAAAGTTGTTCGGGATAATAAATTCATATGTTCGGAAATTTATATAAATTTTTAATAATTTACTACTGCACCTTGCATATATATGAAAAAATTGAAAATCTTTTCGCGTAAACATAATACGTGAAAGTGAATTAATAAAAAAGTATTCTATTTACATGAAATTTTCAAGTGCACGTGATTTCTTATCCTGAACAATTTTACTTAAGGCTTAGTTTAATATATCAGATATAGCTACGATTATCGATTAGAAAAGTAATAAAGTTCGATAACTTTTTATATAAGTAATTCAACCAATAAAATTACTTTATATGCAAATGACCTAAATGACCTTAATGACCCAAATGACCTGGTCATTATTTGATAACTTGGGGTCATTTAAATTTTGATTAAATGATCAGGTCATTTACCATCCCTGCCTTATAACCATAAAGTATTACTGTATATTGTATATTGTATTTTAACCTACGCATAAAAGATGTTTATTTAAACATTTGTTTTACAATTGATTAATAAATCAACTAATCAAATTAAATAGAAAATAAAGTTGATAGACATTATTAATACGAAATTATGGAATGTACATTATTTTATTATGATAGAGCTTGGATCCGGTTATCCGTTGGATGCAAATTTAATAGTAAAATTCGTCGGATATCCGTTAAATTTAATATGAAAACGGGATGACCGAATATAAGCTCTAAATTATGTCATTACAATTTATTACTTAACTGTATTCAAGATATTATTCGCAATTCATTATAAATTAATTATGAATTAATATGAATTGATTATGACATATACCATAATGCCATAATTTAGTAATTTCGACGACAGTTATAGTTAAACTAATCCATCTAAAATCCTTAATCTAGCAACTTCTTTACAAATATTACATTCCATATTACGCATACTCATATATGCCTTTTCTTCAAATTTATCCGAAAATTTCATAGTCCGCCACTCATGATATTCTAAATATGCCGTCTCATTACTAGCCAAATATTTTAAATGATTTGCGAGAGATTCAGCGTCCGGAAAGTCATCAATAAGGATAGCAGATTTAGGATGTGGTAAATATGAACGAACATTAGGATCACCCCATATAACAGGTATAATTCCTAATTGAAAAACATCCCAAAGCTTTTCGGTAGAGTAATCTTTTTCTTGACAATTTTCAATTGATAGATAAAAAGGATAATTAGAGATTACGCAATTTTTTGTATCAAATTTCCACAAGTTCAGACATTCAGGATAAAGTTCCCATCGGGAGTTCTTTAGGACAGAACCAAAAGAAGCAACAGGCATATGGTTTTGAAGGGATGGAACAAAAGTTGATCTGAAATCAGTTGAGTGAGAAGCGATAAACGAGATAAGAGTAGAATTTTGGGAGAGTTTTGATACGTTAAATGGTTGTACTGATCGAAATATTTCAGGATCAGTTCGAATATAACTTGTGGGTACATCCGAATCTTCATCATATGAAGAATAGATATCAAAGGATTCATCAGAATAGTGACAATGTTGACATTGAGATGGTGACTCTAAAGTAAGCTTTATGAGCCTTTGCCCTTTCCAAGCTTTTTTTTCGGGTGCATAAGTAAAATCAACATTAAAAAGGCCATCAATCGATTCAAGCTCTGTGGAAGATAAGCTTTCTAAACTTCCTTGTTTCCAGATACATGGTATGTCACAATATTCTAAGGTTTCATCATGTTTATATGTGAGTCTTTTAAAATCTTCATTGGGATACCAATTTCCCCCAATTATATAGATTATCACTTTCTTATCGCCATTGAGATATCGGGTTATGTAATGACTTTGTTTCCATTCTATAAGGCTTGTAGGTTTTTTTTTAAGTTTTTCTATTAATAATGTGGTGTTTGCTACAATCAAGCTATCGTTAGGCTCATTGAGTTCATTAGTCGACGTTTTTGTAGGTATTGACCATAAGAGAGTGACGTAGAGAAGTGCAGCTATCGCATAGATAATATATAATTTAGACCTTAATATTTTGGACATACTGTAGGTAATGTTAAAGTTAAGTAATACGTGAAGACAAGCCCAAGGTGTTATAAAATTACAAACCTTGTAACTTCAAGCCTGCTGTTTGTTATTGATAAAGTGGACTTGTGAGAACACCAAAATGATTTAATTATATCGAGTAATTTCATTTGAATTATGATAGATATACTCTATTTTAAAGTTAAAATGGTTAGCAAATTAGTAATTTTGAATATCTTTCCAAGGGTATATGATTTTATTGATTATTTTGTCATTTCGCACTGTAGATCTCGACTAATCAATTTTTTTCTCTTAATTATATTGATGCCGATCGTCTACACCGGTGTTAGAGATTATTATAAAAAAAAAATAACTAACCAACCTAGAGTAAAGAACAGTAAGCTTTTTTTCGGTTGCGCTTCATTTTAATGGATCACAAAAATTTGTATTACAGATTTAATCTAATAGTGCATGTACATCATGAAACATGAGTAACATAGCTCATGGTCGATTACCTAATCCGACTGTATGATGTACGTACGTATGTAATTAAACCAAGAAATCAAATAAGGCGGCCGCATGACATTGTGTCACGCCATGAATTTTAAATATGTTGCCAAGGAGTATGACTAAAATGCAACATTATTGTTTACATTATAATCTTGTTATTTATTATATTAATCGTTTAAAACCTATAAAAGCAATTACAAATTTGGCCATGCAAGATATTACCGTTGTGTATATTGTTGTTAGGCGAAGCCATTTTGGTCAAATGGCGAAAGACGACAGAGGAACCCCCTAGCGAAACCCTGGAGAAAGTTAGAACTCAGTGAAGATTAAATTCTCTAAGCTTTGGAAAAGACTGTGCCATGTTGGTAAATAAAAAATATTTTGCGCGTGGCTATTAAGCACAGCATGTGGCTTATATAAAAAATTGTACAAAAGCAATAAACAAAGCGATGGCCTTTGCTTGTATTCGAGTACTATTAAAAGAAAACTAGGCTTCAGGCTTTTGAACTTATAATTAAATCAACTAAGCCTTGAAAATTCAAAGCTTGAAATTTGGAAGCGCTTATCTATGTACAGTATTAATATTATTCATGTAAAATAAACCTAAGGTTTTTTATCTGAATATCTTTTATTTTTAAACTGTTAAGATTTTCTCTTTAATTTTTCGTCGTAAGTAGCTAGTTAGCATTATGCCACTGTATACAGTACCCGGTGTGACCTGCAACTGTTTCCATCACATGTATACTGCTGATATTGAAGATCATGTGACATTTTGGGCTGGAAATTGCGGACCGGAAAATTCAAAACAAATATTCGCTCTGTCATAAATTTTGCTAATATCGATATACCTACTAACATCTGGAATGCATCTATTTGCGCAACAGATTACATAATTGATATTCCAAGCACGTTCAACTGGGGTGTTAAATGTACTATCGCTATGTAGATCAAATATATGATAGTCCCATATAAAAATCAAATACTGTAGATAATTTTTTTCGTGTAACAATCACGAGATTTTCAAACTTCAAGTCGTATCTCCTTCGTAAATTACATATTAACTAGTTTGAAAATTTTGCTCGACGGCACAG